ATCATCCCAAAATAACCAGACCCCACATTCAAAAAGACGTTTTTTATATTTTAAAATCTCTACTAAACTCTACTTCACCTGCCCAGTGCCCCGCCAAGTCTCAGACATGTTTGTATTTTTTTTACAAAAAACGACTCCGACCGAGCATGGCTCTGACCACTCTATCACTTCATATGCTGAGAACATAGAAACAGGTGAACTCTACTTCACCTGCCCTGTGCCCCGCGAGGTCCTGATAGTCAACCTTATCGTTCACATCATTATAGTTATAGGCCCTAAGAAAAAATAATTGAAAACATTATTTTAAAAAGAAAATAAATCTTTTTACTATTACTGAAGGCATTGTTCTAAACTTTTATAATTAATGTGGTTAATCTACTAATGAATATATCAAATTAATTAACGGCTTTAAATTAGTTTGTTATTAACAGTGTGTTTAAGAAAGAACAATATTTACCACCCAAAATCCTATTTTACAGCTCTACACATAATGCAGATTCTCCCCAATCACAAATCAGAAAAACAAACAAACAAAAAAATGAGTTATCAAACGTCACTATTCAGTCAAAGTTAAGCCGTTGTTCTAAAACTTTAAAATTAATGTGGTTAATCTACCTATGAATAAATCAATTAATGTCTTTAAATAAATGTCTGATTAACAGTCTGTCTGCAAACAAAAATTGTTCTCTACCTACATACTATTTTACAGCCCCCCCCCCCCCCCCCCATATAGAGCAGTTTCCTTACAGTACAGTACCAAATCAGACAAACAAACAAACAAATAAATATTCAAACATGCAAACAAACTTGAGTTTTAGTAGTATATAGATTTACTTTTGACATAGTTTGTGTTCTATTTTTAGAAATTTATACTAAATGCTCAAGTTCAAGTGTAAACATTATTGTTCACAAACTATCTTACCCACAAGAAAACAGAATAAGAATTTATAATTTGCAAAAATACCTTAGCTTGTTCTGCTGATCTTGACAATGCTTCTGAAAAATGCAGATATTGTATTAAAAGTAAACAAGATCTTCTTGGGTAGACTTTAAATTCTTATTATAGTTATAGAAGAGAGGGTTTTCTTAAAATAATAATCTTAGAATTAGATACAAAGCTAATACTAAATAATTAAAATAAAAATGTGTTTTAAAAATAAAATTAAACCAAAAATAATATCAGTTTATAATTAATTATATCTCAATATGTATTTTACGTAACAAAATTTAGTATAGTATGATAGTCTGTGTTACCTTTTGTATAAATCCTAAGGAGTTCAGTGGTGAGTACAAGTGCAGTACTTTTTACTAAAAAAAAAGACATTTTAGTTATGTTTTTCTTCAGAAATTTCCAGTTCAAACATGAGAATATAGCAGGAATAATCTGAATTTCCTAATAAATATCTTGCAAACAAGTTCGACAACAATCCTAAATATATTAAAGCCCATGATCGCACTTCTCTCTCTCCGCAAGTTTTTTTAGGGGATGTGATCAGTATGTTCCGCGATATATGGAGAACATAATATACATACAGACTTTTGTTGAAAATAATATGGTGGATGTTATAAATGTATAACCCAACTCTGATGGGTACCTAACTCGCATTAGGGAAAGTACAGGCGGCTGGGCATAGTGCTGACCACACTATCTCTTCATATGCCGAGGTTGCAGAAACAAGTGAACTCTACTTCACTTGCCCTATAGACCAGGGGTCTCCAAACTACGGCCCGCGGGCCGGATGCGGCCCGCGAAGTCCTCTCACCCGGCCCGCTGAGATCTTTTTGTCCAAGGAAAAATCGTTTGTTGGTGATAGCTGAGGAACTTTGGCCAGAAAAATCAAAGACATGCCTGGAAGAAACTGGCCCCCGAACTGAAATTTGATAGTTAATGCGGCCCTCGGACTGAAAAGTTTGGAGACCCCTGCTATAGACCATCAGGTTTGAAAAGGGAACTTTACTTTTTTTATAAATGTATAAACTAACTTTTATTTAAAGAAAGAAAATAAAAATAAATGTATATTTGTATGTAGAAACACAATTTTAATTATGCAACCGGAAAAACATTTATTGTTGTGAAAAGAACGCAATAAAAATGATGTCACATGCCACATGTTTAAACTAAGGAAAGAACACAAAACTGATGGCATCATCTTTCAGCTTTAGAATATAAAGAAAGGAACTATTTCATTCAAATTTGATTTAGATCTACAGATCTACTTATCCAGACGTACAATTTTCTAGGCCAAAAGTAATACAAATTACTTTAAAAAAACAACATAAATACCATTCAACAGCCGGGTTTTTAACTAAATCGTTTAAGTGTTTTGATCAGTGTGTGCATTTAATAAGTTGTTGTGTTGACTAATGATGTATATAATTTGGTTTTCTAATAAGTATTGGTAGCCCTTGTTATTTTAAATGTGCTCTTTTTTATAGCTATTAATTTATTTCTTTGATTTTAAATGTTCCGGATTTTTAGCTATTAATAAAGTATTAAGTTACTTCTTTGCTTTGTCACTAATATCTCAACGTGCAGTGTTGCGTTTTGACCAATAACTATTTTATAAATTATTTTGTTTTACAAATACGTGTAACATAAAAAATATATAGGCCTATAATTCACATGTAACGGTACTGACGGCTAGTAATTATATAAGAGTGATGACCTAAATGAACAGTAACACTGCCTTTTAAAGGACTGTTTTCTAAATTTACTTACTTTTAAGTAAATATTTAGGATAATGGATACTTATGATATGGCTTGCTCACTTCCATCCTACTTAGTTGGAATAAGTTTACTGGTAAAAATCTTTATGCAAGTTTATAAAAAACAAAGCTTAATTAAGTAGAACATTTAATTTCTTTTACTTACTTGTTACTTTTTCATCCTTTAAATTTTTTATCAAAATATCATTAATCAGTTTCTGAAATTAAAAAGCATATTTAGTTGAGTCACATCAATCACCTAGGTATTTTTCCCCGTTAACCTCCTTTCATGAGACCGACACGTCATAAATTGCCACGTCATAAATTGCTGAGCCTCCTGAACTTACGCCACAAATCTTCACTCATCTTCACAATCATATGTGACATCATTTATGGACAACCCCATATCACTCATTTGGGCATTTGATGTTGACATTTTGACAACAAAGGATAACCAAAATGTGTCTGACAGGTGGAGACTTGCAATCGACCATAATGACAACACGCACTTAAGGGGTGGAATGGCTGATTGTTTTAGATCAGGGGTCTCCAAACTACGGCCCGCGGGCCAGATGCGGCCCGCGAGGTCCTATCATCCGGCCCGCAGAGATCTTTTTGTCCACGGAAAAAAACGTTTGTTGGTGATGGCAGAGGAACTTTGCCCAGAAAAATCAAAGACATGCCTGGAAGAAACTGGCCCCCAAACTGAAATTTGATAGTTAATGCGGCCCTCTGACTGAAAAGTTTGGAGACCCCTGTTTTAGATGATGTTTTACGAGTGTAACTGGTGGATAATATATTTTGTCTCTCTGTATATATAAATGATGACAAACATTTATTGTTGTCAAAATTATGGCTTGAGATCTTAAATAAGGCAGAGCGAAACGTAATTTGTTACATTATGACTTGTTGTGACATTGACTTTGACAACAAAAATATGATGGAGGTTGGGGTTTAATTAAGGTAAGGAGAAGTAAAAAAAATGACATAAGTTACGATAGAATCACTAATGGACGCCAGCGAGAAAAGTCTCAAAGGTATTTGAGAGGTCCATAAATTAATTTGAAAATCATGCACGGCATAGTTACAATTAATATGGTTATAAAATCCTGCCTGTCTGGTTTATTTTGGACTTTACTAAAGATTTGATGTATTTGATGTTTTTAATATTTTCGGTAACTAAATGAAAATTTAAAAAAAAAGCAAAAACAATTTGGTTTCCATGTGTAAGGGCGACATAAACAATGGCATCCCGCTATTCGATAGGCTGCCATAAATTTTATTGTACACACTGTAAGCTAAAAAAAAACAACTAGGTCATGTAGTTTAAATTTGCATTGTTATTTAAAAACTTGATCTGCAAAGTTTTGTAAACTAATAGTTATCTATCACTAAGTTACTGTACGGCCAATCAATATTTATCTTACGAAAGTGAAACATCCAGTTATAACTTAGGCTTGATGAAAATAAATAGAAATGTAGCCTTAAACTCAACAAATTATTTTCAAGTTTTCTGGATTTGCAACTTTTGGTGGCCGGAAAGAACCGCAACGGAAAAAAGCGCAACGGAAAAAAGCGCAAAACAAAAAGCGCAACGGAAATAAGCGCACATGGAAAAAAGCGAAAAGAGAAAAAAAGCGCAAAGAGAAAAAAGCGCAAACAGAAAAAAGCGCACACGGAAAAAAGCGCAAAAGGGAAAAAAGCGCACACGGAAAAAGGCGCAAAGAGAAAAAAGGGCAAAGAGAAAAAAGCGCAAAAAGAAAAAAGCGCAAACAGAAAAAAGCGCAAACAGAAAAAAGCGCAAACGGAAAAAAGTGCAAACAGAAAAAAGCGCACACGGAAAAAAGCGCAAACGGAAAAAAGCGCAAACAGAAAAAAGCGCAAACGGAAAAAAAGCGCAAACAGAAAAAAGCGCACACAGAAAAAAGCGCAAACGGAAAAAAGCGCAAACAGAAAAAAGCGCACACAGAAAAAAGCGCAAACAGAAAAAACAACGAAAAATGTGCAAAAGAGAAATTTAGCACAAATACCTATATCGACTAGATGACACATTTATACATGACTGTTAGGGCTGCTGTAAGAGTGTCGTGTTTGATCACGTGATCTGCTACCATTTAAAGCGTACCACTACCATGTGCATTCCCCTCACCACGATACAGGCGATAATCGCTTTACACAATGCCTATTATTTTCTTGGTCAATAATTATTCAACTACTATTCTCGTATAAATAAACATAAAACTATCCTTGATATCGACATTACACGAAGTATCTCTCACATTCTCCCTAGTCCGAACTACCTAGCTTGCATACCATAACTACCCGTTCCTATGGCAAAACTTCACTCACTTTCATCCGCGTCATCTAGCATGCATTCGTCATATCTCTCGCAACATCATTCATTCGCACCAAAATAACAATTATGTATTTAATATTATTTCACATCATGATGCACTTACCTACCTACCTACTACTTTCCTACCTACCCACTTACCCTCCTACCTACCTACCTACCCGCCTACCCACCGAAAAAGGATCGGCGAAGTTCGTTAGTTTCGTAAACTGTACTTTTTTAATGAAAATTCATTGACATCATTGACATATGTTACATATATGTTACATTTTGCGACAATCTTAATTTCTGATTTCTTCGTCAGCAGAAAGGTCCTATAGTCTATAGTTTCCTGTAAGTGTGTGTTTGTGATGGTGTCGTGCCAGCGGCAGAGTTTCTTCCAGGCATCTCTTTGCCCCCCCCGAAAGAGATGGAATTTATATAGTAAACATACACTTTTACTAGTGTCCGCCCCCCTCGTAAATATTAAGTGCTCCCCCCCCCCCCGGAGAAAAAAGTCTGGAAGAAACACTGACCAGGTCACCAGCGGATCTAGAGTATTTGTATCAGTCTGAGGCAACTGATGGACTTTATCAATGGTGGTCTTTGTCATACTCCCAATCTCTGCCTCATATACGCTTACCGTGTAATGTTAAAATAAATAGCATGTAATTGAGTTAGTTCGAAGTGAGTTTTCATACAAGCCCAACGCACTAATTAAGATTGTCGCAAAATGTAACATATATGTAACATATGTCAATGAATTTTCATTAAAAAAAAGGCGGGTAGGTGGGTAAGTGGGTAGGTAGGTAGGTGTGTAGGAGGGTAGGTGGGTAAGTGTGTAGGTGGGTAGGTAGGAAGGTAGTAGGTAGGTAGGTAAGTGCGTCATGATGTGAAATAATATTAAATACATAATTGTTATTTTGGTGCGAATGAATGATGTTGCGAGAGATATGAGAGATATGACGAATGCATGTTAGATGACGCGGATGAAAGAGAGTGAAGTTTTGCCATAGGAACGGGTAGTTATGGTATGCAAGCTAGGTAGTTCAAACTAGGGAGAATGTGAGAGATACTTCGTGTAATGTCGATATCAAGGATAGTTTTATGTTTATTTATACGAGAATAGTAGTTGAATAATTATTGACCAAGAAAATAATAGGCATTGTGTAAAGCGATTATCGCCTGTATCAAGGTGAGGGGAATGCACATGGTAGTGGTACGCTTAAAATGGTAGCAGATCACGTGATCAAAGCTTTAAATGGTAGCAGATCACGTGATCAAACACGACACTCTTACAGCAGCCCTAACAGTCATGTATAAATGTGTCATCTAGTCGATATAGGTATTTGTGCTAAACTTCTCTTTTGCACATTTTTCGTTGTTTTTTCTGTTTGCGCTTTTTTCCGTTTGCGCTTTTTCCGTGTGCGCTTTTTTCTCTTTGCGCTTTTTTCCGTGTGCGTTTTTTTCTTTTTGCGCTTTTTTCCGTGTGCGCTTTTTTCTTTTTGCGCTTTTTTCTCTTTGCGCTTTTTTCCGTGTGCGCTTTTTTCCATGTGCGCTTATTTCCGTTGCGCTTTTTGTTTTGCGCTTTTTTCCGTTGCGCTTCTTTCTGGGAACCACAACTTTTATAGCATTTATTCTAAAAATATAAAATTTCTAAATAAATTTTAGGCTTAAGTTTTTATTTTTATTTTTTTTTACGGTCTAAATCTAAAAAGCACTTTTTTATTCCGTGTCAACATTATGGAAGGAATCTCGTCAACTCGCTGGTGTCCATTGATGAAAAGAAAAACCTGAATTGAAAATAGTGAAAATTCAAACAATAAGAAAAAAACTAAAACTATATAGTAATAGTAATCATCAAATTAACATTAGTCCAAAAAAACGTGATTTTATATATGGATACAAGTTGCATCTCAAAATACTTCTAGAATTAATAAAGTTGTTTGTTAGGAAATTCAGTTTTTAAAGGGCAGAATTAGAAAAAAAAATGCTTTGTAATACGGACTATACAACAAGACAATTATATTTAAATACATTTACATTCGAATAGAAATGAAAGGGAAGCTACTCTAAATAACATTTTCTTAAGATGGCCGCTGTTTTTAATAGCAAATTTACTATCTTGAACAGGGCTGATAAAAAATAACTTCAGGATATTTAAATTGATTTAACCATCAATAGTGATCTATTATTCAATTATTTATAATATTTTATAAAAATATATGAAAATATACTCATATTAATGACATATTCATTAATTCACTCTCTCCCACATTACTAGATCTAGTTTTGGCCGAACTTACGACCCTAAACTAAGATTCTACCGATTCTAGATTTAACTATTCGTCTTACAGCGCTTATACTTATTACTACTACTTATTAGTTTATTTTTATGGTAATCTATCGTTTTAGCGTAATCAATTCGGCCAGTGCTAGTAATGTAGGGATAAAGTAACTAATGAATATGGCTCACATATGAATATATTTTTGCATATTGTATTAAAATACTAAAGATAATTGAATATTAAATCACAATTTAAGGTTAAATCAATAAAAATATCATGAAATTAACGTTTAACAACGATGTTCCAGATACTAAATTTGATTAAAAAAACAGCGGCCATCTTAAGAAAGTATTATTTTGAGTAATTTCCCCTTAATTTCTATTTGTATGGAAATGTAATAATGTATTGCTGTTTGCTGTTAAATACGATTGTCTTGTTTTTAAATACAGAGTATGCGTTTTTTTTAATTTCTGTTTTTTAAACAATTTAATTGACTGACAATAAACATCAGCAGTTCTAGAATTATTATTATGAGATGCAATTTTTATAAAGTAAGGAAGTCCCCATTTTTGTAGAGCTACTACTACTAGATCTAATGTTTATTTAACTATTAGTCTGAGTTAATTGTTATTGTTTGTTTGCGATTTTCATTCCATATTTTCATGTTTTTTCCCCTTTAATTAGAGATTTAATAAAAAATGACGTCAGGTTTTTTTTTTTACCCCTCTTCACCTTAACCCCCCCCCCCCCCATTTTCGCCGTCACAAAATAGTCGTAAAGTCGAAAATTACCTTTTTGCCCCGCCTGTTAAAAAGTTAAGCCATAATTCTATTGAAAAAGAATTTTTTGTTCAGCATTTTTGTATTAGGCAAAATACATAACGTTTTACGTTTCTTACCCCTCCCACTACCCACGTAAAACGTCGTCTCAAAACCAGTTACTCCACCCCTTAAATGCACGATGTCATTTATGGTAGATGTCAAGTCCTTACCTCCAATATATATTTTGAATAACCTTTGTTGTCAAAATGTTGATACCAAATACCCAAAATGAGTTATATGGGGTTGTCCATAAATGATGTCACATATGCTATGCTAATGTGACGTCAACTTACGCAGGACCACAATTTATTACCTATAATGAAGAGGTGATCGGGGGGGGGGGGGGGGGAGGTGACGTCAATTATGGAAGACTTCTATAAAGCTGTGTTCAATGATAATGAGTAACATAAAGTGTTTGTTTTCATGCTTATCTTTGCTCATAACGAATGATCATAACTATTGCAAGCCTGTTGTCCTAAGCGGTGTTAAACAACATCAGCACATCATCCCCGCCAAAAAGGGCCTGCCACTAAATGCCTACCGACGAAAATAGGCCGCACTCTACTGTCTCCAAATGAAATAACTTCTGACAATAAGGCTCAAACCAAGTTGCTCATTGCAACGATATTCGACAAGAGTCCAAGACAATTATTGGCTTGCAGGTAAAATTGGACAAAACAGTAAGTTTCGCGACATGGGGCATAACAAAAGATCAACTCTTAATACAACAGCAGCTAAGTAATGTAAAGCCAGAGCTCAGTATAAGCTTGAGTTTAATATAGTGTTAGCAGTGGACAGCCTCTAAGACAGTGCATTAGGAATACGGCGGTCAGCAAAACGCCCGAGTCCGACGATATCTGAACACCAATTTTGCCTTTTATGAAGTGCGGAGCACCTTTAAGAGCTGAGCTTGACACCACCACTAGCGCCGCTTATGTCCACATATTAATCACAAGTTTTGCGTGGAGCTTAATGGACAGACGAAGTTTATAGGTGGGACCGGGAGCCTAAATGCATACACGGAAGCCGCTGTGTCACGGGCATTTTAGAGCCAAACGTCTCAGAGCAGCAGGTTGCAGAAATTAAAAGCACGTGAATTTGTGTAATAGAGGGAGAACATCACGCCTCTGTAATAAACACCTATATAATTTACCGCACTAAAGTCATTTAGATCTATTCATCAGGCTAAACGTCGCTTAAGTCTCAACCCCATATTGCCTGTTTTGATTATCTCTTTCTTTAACATTAGCCCAATGACAAATGACGTCACGCGCGCTGCGAACTCGGTGACGCTGTGCTTAGTGGGGGATGAAACGGCGGGGTTGAGAAAAATGACCTATTTCTTTTTTTTTTTTTAACAGACGAATAAGTGATAGATTCTAATTTTCCTACGAAGTATAGGTTGATCTAGTTTGTTTTTTTTCTAGAGGGAGATATCACCATATATTGGATGTTTTTTGTTTTTGAAATAATGGATGGTGGGGAGGGGTAAACATCGACTACTGAACAAATAAAAAACCGATGAAATCAAAAGGCAAAGAAAAAAAAACCATGTGGTATTCAAATGTAACTATTAAAATTTAAACCTATTTTCATAACCACAATATTCTTAATTCAGAAAAAGTGTAGGCCTAAGACTAATGTCTACAGACAAAATAAACAACTAGATCCAGGCTTTAATGGGTTACCCATAAATGATGTCAAACTTTTCCAGATGAATTTCCTTTCCCCCAATCGTCACTAAAAACCCTTAATCACAATTTCTAACGAAAACGAATATATTCTTCATCATTTTTGTTTTAAATATTATACCACGTCCCATATTTTGAGTCCAACGTCATTTATGAGGAATATGGACGACCTAATAGTTATCAAGTTAATCAGTACAAAAGGGTTTAACCATTAATGTCCCATTCATTCTACCAAAACTCCACACATGACGGCCCAATGTAAGGAGCATAACTCTGTATGATCAAGTGAATAGTTTCACAAAATATTTGTTTTTGTCTAAATGAAATTGAAAATTAAGATAAAAACTACTGCTTAATGTTGGGAATAAACCTGGCTTTCCAACAGTATTAAATAGAATATATTATATTCGGTAAAAGTACAGTATAAAAATAAAAAATGTCGGAGAAAATTCAAAACAGGTCATTTTCGGTAGTCAACTTTATTTATTTTTGTCTAAACAACTATGCATCGAATTTAACAGTTAAATATCAATTTGGTTATGTTTAACATATATAATTCATAAAATACATGCCTAGATACGTTTAGAGGCATTAATTTTTTTTATTTTTAATATTAAATCTACTAAAAATACGACAGATGAGTCGAAAATTTCGAGATAGAAAGAAACTATTATTTTTTATCTTTCAAAAGCGCCATTGAAATTAGAAGACCGGAAAAGGATGCTGAAACCATCCGACTTCCTGTTTAGTTAAAAATTAGGATTTGTAGGCCAAATTTTAATGAAACAAATTTAATTTTTCTATGCGTATTGTAAGCGGGCGGCAGCGGGCGTTACGGGACATTAACGGTGTCGGGCGGCAGCGGGTGTTACGGGACATTAATGGTTAATAAATGTTGGACCTCCCAAAAGTTTCTGAGATCTTGGATGTACAAACATACATAGTACATAGCCTTACTTTCAATTGAAATTAAAGAAAAGAAGACAGCCCTCTGTCCTACTTATATTAAACAAGACAGCTATTTATATTAAACAACAAAGTCAACACAATATACATACGAATAAACATTTTTATCAAGGGAAACTACTCTAAATTTTATTTGGAAAGATGGCCGCTGTTTTTATCTACTAATATTTATCTCAAACACCTTGTTTAAAGTTAGTTTCATGATATTTGAAATTGTTTTAGTCACTGATTGTTATTTTAAATCAATTACCTGTTATATTTTGTAAAATTTGACTTAAATATAATATATATAGGCCTATAAAACTATAGGCCTACTTATTTAAACAAATATACTCATCAGTTACCTCTCCCGCACATTACTACTGCAGCGAATTGATTACGCTATAACGATAGATTACCATTTTTATTACTTACTTAGTAATACTACTTACTTAGGTAAAACCTTAGTTTAGCGTCGGAAATTATTGGGTAATGTTTGTTGAGTTTCGGTAACTAGAGTTACGGTAAACCATGGTTTATTTGACCATTGAAATATAAATAAATTGAAAGTCAATTGTGGTAAATTAATGTTTTAATTTTCTAACTTTAATCGACAAAAGGAAACAAGAATAAATATAAATATAATAGAAGTTTTTAAATTAGTAGATCTAAAAATAAAAAAAAAAACATATATTAATATAAATATAAGTCAAATGTAATAATTTAATGTTTTTGGCTTGCAGCGGATTTGCGACCATTAATTAATTAGATCTAGATCTAGCTAGGCCAAGTTAAAAAAATCTAGATTACGAAAATAGTAAAAATGATTACAAAATGTAAAAATGATTACAAAAATAAATCTATCCAAATTTTAAACATTCTGTATAAAAATAAAAGATGACACCAAATAAAGTATGGTTTACAGTACTTCCGGTGAATTCCGGAAGTGTGTGACAGACTTTGGCATTGTTTTACTGTTTTTCACTGCTATACGATTCCAGAATAATAACAGACGCTAAACTAAGGTTTTACCCTTACTAGATCTCTCTAGAATACTCTAGATCTATCTAGAATCTAGATTACTAATACTATACTTACAGTTTTAAATGATGCACTTGAATTTGATTTTGTCAACTGGGACATTCTAGATCTAGATCCTAGATCTATTCTAGATCTAGACTCTATACATTTATTTAAAAAATAACAAGTCTAGTTATAATATGTTTTGAACTTTTAAAGCACTAACTAATAGTTTAACAACAGATCTAGACTTCTAGATCTAAATCACATCATGTTTTTGTTGGGGTCCAAGCCTCATAGAAAGTTGATTCTGTAGATAGATCTAGAGCTAGATCTCTCTAGATCTATCTAGAATCTAGATTACTAATACTATACTTACAGTTTTAAATGATGCACTTGAATTTGATTTTGTCAACTGGGACATTCTAGATCTAGATCCTAGATCTATTCTAGATCTAGACTCTATACATTTATTTAAAAAATAACAAGTCTAGTTATAATATGTTTTGAACTTTTAAAGCACTAACTAATAGTTTAACAACAGATCTAGACTTCTAGATCTAAATCACATCATGTTTTTGTTGGGGTCCAAGCCTCATAGAAAGTTGATTCTGTAGATAGATCTAGATCTAGATCTAGATCTAGCAGATAGGCTTGCTAGACTGCTAACGATCGGTAATTTTATTTTTACTAATTGAAGAACTCTGAAGGCACCTTCTAAGTACCAAAATATAAATTACGAGCCGGCCCGCGGCATAACATACGCCGCTATTTAGTTGTTTCTAATTTTCAATAATTCATAATTTGTGAATTCGACAGTACCAACGCTGACACTGAAAATATTTCTTTAAAACACTATAAGTAGCTCGTTAAGGACCATAACCCCCCCTTCCTTCCCTCCCCCCCCCTCCTCCCCCCCCTACGTTTAAAATCGTTGGCTCTGCTTGTAAACATTTAGAGTGAACACAGCTCACTAAAACCATGTAGGGGTGGGGAGGTAGGGAGAGCGTTTGCAGCTTGTTTTCTAACGGCTCGAAGAAGAGAATTATATATATAGATGTATCTATAAAAGAAATCTAAATTCTATATGAAAACAAAGTGGGTGATGTTTGATGGCCCCGGGCTATATATATATATATATATATATATATATATATATATATATATATATATATATATATATATATATATATGTTACGGTCAAAGCCCGCATTGGCCGGCCAATGTGCGCACTGGCCGGCTCTCTTGCAGTGGCGTAGCCAGGATCGTCTCAGGGGGGGGGGGTTCAAATTTTTTCCAGCATTATATATATATATATATATATATATATATATATATATATATATATATATATATATATATATATATATATATATATATATATATATAGGCCTATATATATATGTATATATATATATATATATATATATATATGTGTGTGTATACATATGTATGTGTAAGTGCGTGCGTGTAAAGTATTGGTGGCTGGTGACAATAGAAACTCGTGGGTGCCATCGACTAACTTATCTTAGTATAAGCTATTGTTTTGTAACAAGTAACACATGTACACTATCGTAAAAAAATTATAAAAATCAAATTTCCATCATTTTCAGCAGTTTTCTCCAACTGAAAATTTCATTGTTGGCCGCAAAAAATTATAGATTCTATTATGGGCGCTAATCTTAAACAATTTTCTTGAATTTGTTGACTTATGATACATTTTAGGAGATTTTAATAAGTTCAATTTTTTTCTCCATCACCGATTTACGATTTTGGGAAAGTAAAATTGCTCTTTTATGATACTCACATTGCTGGTGCTCATTAAACTTGTCTGTTGCCTTTTTCCAGTTTGAAAATGAAATTTTTGATAGCTTATTCAAATGCTGACTACCTACACAACGATAATTCAAACTAATCAAAACACAATATTTGCAAAATGCGCGATCAAGTAACTTGGAATAAGTCAACCAGTTCCAGTGGCGTAGCCAGGATCGTCTCAAGGGGGACCACAAATATTGAAACTTTAAATTACTTTGTCCGCTTGCTGGAAATTTAAAAAGCTTATCAGGATGCCAAATGTTTTCTAATAAATACAACCGTGTATCGTCTGTTATAACTCCTTTGATAAAATTGCCGATATCATTTGCGTAAGAAACAGTCGAAGGTGCTGAATTTACGGAAATTTCTTGATGTAATGTACTTTGAGAAGCAATAGTACCATCTTCATTTTTATCATTTTCAGTTTTACTTTTCTTTGTAAAGAAATCAGTTAATAAAGTAGCTTTTAATTTCCTTTTTCCTTCCGCCATCATTGAAATGAATTTAAATTGCTTGAAGTAGTTAAAAGATACACATTAAAACACGACGATACGAAGAAGAAAGAAAATTATTATTGGTCTTCTATTCTGACTGTCGAAATTGACTACTGTAGGTTCCTGGCTCTACATCTATATTCAACCAAATACACAGTTTTTTTATATAGCCTACCAACACAAAGTTTTGTGTCAACAATTGTGGGTCAAGCCCACGCTTTCCTGCCAGATGCGCATCCGGTAGTATTTTATAATTGATACGTACCAATATTCATCCCACCCTCACCCCCTTTTACACCACTTAACTGATAACCTTGTTCAGCTTTCCCTTCGCCTATTGCGACCCTGAGTGTTTGTTGTTTAAGCACTGATCGAATGATAGCGACACAAGTCCACCGTCGTCAATAGCTGCAACTTAACGTAAAGGATTGTCATTTTGAAGATCCTACCCCCCCCCACCCCTCACACCTGCTACTCCTCCCTCTGCCATCTTTATCATTTTCAGTTTACTTATCTTTTTCAAAATTAAGTAGTTTTCAGTTTCCTTGTTTCATCCGCCATCAGTGAAATGAATTTCAAATGCTTTGAAGTAGTAAAAACATACACATTATAGAACCTCAATGCGAATAATAATCAATTCCTTTTTTTGTTTTTCATTTCTAGACGCTTTCCGGTTGCACTACAATCATATTAGACAACAAAGGCCTACCCACGTAGCCCACCCCTCCCTTTCGACACTCCTTAACTGATCTAACCTTGGCCAACTTTCTCTTGGCCTACTGCGTTCCAGATTATTATACATTACTTTAGCGCGATAACAAAATTCACAACTAAATTCTACAGGCAATTCTCATCACAATGATATACATTGTTGTTCTAGAGGCTGCTTTAGTGTTTAGTGTTTAAGCCCTAAATAATATTGACACAAGTCAATAGCTGTAGCTTAACGTAAAAAAAGTAGTCATTTTGGGGGTCCATGGGGGGGGGGGGGGGGTTTATAACCCCCTAACCCCCCCCCCCCCCCCACCTGCCTACGCCACTGCTATCTTGGCCAAAGCCAACTCGGGACTTACGGGTTAGCAGTCCAGCTCTCTACCGCTAGACCACTCCATCCCTCTAATGAAAGCCTTTGCACTGCAAATTGCAGTTCTAAAAGCCTTCCGAGTAATAAGTGTGCGAATACTTCACCAGTGGTTTCGTAACATATAATTTTTTATATGAGGGGGGGGGGGGGTGTGAATTTAGAATGTATGCCCGATTAAAACAAGTAGGGACTAGTATGGTGACGTACTTAGGTGTAAAACGGTGAAAACTGTCAAAATTTCATGTGATTTTTGTGCACGATTACAATACTTCATCTATACTCTGTTCTACTAATTGCCCTCAAAATTGAGGTAATTTTTTAGCGCAATTTCCATACTGGCAATTGCGTTTAATAATTCGTCATTTCTGGATGGATGGATGGATGTATGGATGTGTGTCCGCAGCTTTAAGTCGTATCTCCTCCTCGTATCTCCTCCTCAACGAAGCAATATCGAGGACTAGTTCCAAAAGCAAATATGTTAAGCAAGTTCCGAGGATGATTGTGGGCCAAAAAAATTCCCGGAATTCCTTCCTGGATTTCCCGGAAAAGCCAAAAAAACTCGAACAAATGCAGTTTTTGGATAACATAAGGAAATTGCGCTTAAATTGTGACTAGACTTTTTATTAACTTGTTGTTTTTTTTTACATTACTAAGCTTTTTAAAAAGAATAACGCATCTTAGAGCAATATAATGTATATATCTCATTGCGTGTTTTCCCTAATATACTTCATAGATCAGGTGTGGGGGGGGGTCACTGTAACTATTCTTCCCTTGTCACCTCAGGTCTATAATCCAACGCAGCATAATAGAGGGGTCCACGATGGAGGAAGGGGGCGGTTATAGTCCCCACCCCCAGCCACGGGTTTATGTTGGATAATTTACAGCGTTTAAAATAGATCGGAAATTCTCAATGATTTTTGTGCTTCAAAGTGCATTTTGTTAAATGAAGTGCAATGAGCTTTCAACTTTCTGAAGATTTCGGACATCAAACTAGGTTTGTCATTATTAATTTTACCAATTGTTTTATTGATGTTTGTAGATCTATCAAATGTCTAACTAATGATAGCAGACAGTATGCTTGGACAGTTGAAACAAGTTAATAAAAAGTCTAGTGACAATTTAAGCGCAATTTCCTTATGTTATCCATAACAATTTTAAATCGAGATAAATCATATATTCAGCAAATTAATAATGCAACACAAGTAGTTTTAATAATTCAAAACAAAATAGAAACCTGTATGAAAATTGCGCTAAAAAAAGACAACTATATTAACCTATATCAACGGAGGCCTACACGATGCTCAGTTTAAAAAAGTAGTAAATATCATCCTAGGCCTACACGATGCTCAGTTTAAATGTTCTTAATTAATTTTTTGTGACCGAACGAAAGGATATTTTTGAAAACTTTCTTCCGCAATATTGGTCTAAATTATGGCAGGAATCGATTGGTAAATGTTTCAAGTCGCTAAGTGGTCTGGTTGCCGAGATATGGAGCAAAAACTGCATTTGTTCAAGGTTTTTTGGCTTTTCCGGGAAATCCAGGAAGGAATTCCGGGAATTCTTTTGGCCCACAATCATCCTTGGAACTTGCTTAACATATTTGCTTTGGAACTAGTCCTCGATATTGCTTCGTTGAGGAGGAGATACGACTTAAAGGTTGCGGACACACATCCATACACCCAGAAAGGACGAGTTAATAATCGCAATTGTCCGTATCGAAATTGCGCTAACAATTGTCCGTATGGAAATTGCGCTAAAATGGTGGGCAGGGATGGGAGGGTGGTAGTTTTGGTGAATGAAAAATGGAATGACATGGACCTGAATGGGTTGAGTTTATTACAAGATTTTTAACTTAATTTCTAAATGTTGCTTTTGTCTGTGGTCATGTATCGAAACTTGCGAGCGAAATTACAATACCCCTAAATAATATATATATATATATATATATATATATATATATATATATATATATATATATATATATATATATATATATATATATATATCCGCATACACACACAATACGCACAGATTTACGTATATGTATTGTGTGTGTACAGATCTGCCACTAATTACAGGTAACTAAATATGTATTTTCAGCTATGCATTATCCCAGGCGTAACCTGTTAACTGCTAGTGATCTTTTTGATAAAAATGATCTCCCAAATATACAGAAACTTCGATTGCATCTTCAAGAAGAAGGTCGGCTAGAGATAGATGCAGTGAAACAAATTGTAACAAGAGCTTCATATTTACTATCCCTTGAAAATAATTTGCTCGAAATTAATGGCACAATAAAGGGTTCGTATTTTTTTTACAAATGTTATTTAACTTGCTTTCTCGTCACGGGTCGAAAAGGGCGAGCAAAATAAATCAATTCTAACAGACCAATTTCTCTTACACTTCGTACTTTGGTCAAAACCCGATGGCAATTCACTCTGACATCAAATTTGACCTAATTAGATGATTAATTCATTTCAAAGAATTAATTTAAATTTCCCCTATAAAGTACTATCTACCGCGCCATTCCGAGTGTCACAACCTTTCACGGCACAGATCGCCATTTTGAATGTGGACTTGAACACCGCGATGGCGGATGTTTACATACCGAACAATCCGTGATGTCATATGTAAGAACTCATTTATACGCACATTATTCATGTTCATTTTATGCGCAACAGTTTTTAGACGTGCAACTATTGTACTAAAAAAAAATTAATTGCTGAAAAGAAAAATAAGCTTTTATGTCATAGTGAACTAAAAATGAGAAATAAATTACTTTCTTTAAATATAATAATAAACTAATATTTAAAGAACTAAAAATAAAAGCGTTGTTCTCTTTATAAATACTAGTAAAAGTATGCAATGCATAATTTAGCAATCCAAGCTTTTATTTTTAGTTATTAAAATAGTAGTTCATAATTATATTTAAAGAAAATCGTTTATTTTCTCATTTTTAGTGCACAATTACATAAAAGCTTGTTATTAAAATGTTTTTATGCATTTTATTTTATTTTTAAACTCATACGCAGGATCGGGTTCTCATATTGACAAATTAATAACGCGCCATCAATCTTTAAAGAGCTAACACGTTTTACAAAGACTGAATAATTCACTTAACACATAGGCCTACATCTAGTACAGGGGTCGGCAACCTTTTGAGACGGAAGAGCCAATAGTTACAATTTTCAAAATTTCCCTGTTTTTAAAGAGCCACTAACATTTTTATTTCAATATTTTATTATTTGATTAGGACTTGGTAAATAAATGTGATTTGTTATTTAAAATAAATAGCTTTAAATATGAGATATTATTTATTCACATAAAAACATACACATGTTTCGCCAGAATAATAAACTAAGTAATCAAATAATACAACTATAGGACTATTTTTTTCATTTTCAAAACTCATATCATATATCATAATGTAAAGAAAAACAACTTTAAACAGAATTAAAACACTTATCAGAGAACATTGAGAATATGTGCAGTAGAAAGTATACGGACAGCTGACAGCAGCTTGGGCACCAGCCCCACAGCCCCGTGCTTGCCCCTGCCCAATACCGACCTTTTCGAATGTTTTTAAATGGGGAATGTTATTTTTATTTAGAACTAGCGTACCCGTCCCCCGCGCGTTGCCGCGGGGATAGAAGTAAGTTTGACGAAATGTATTAGAAGGGATTTCAGCAACGCGTTACCAATCATATGTTCTAAGACGAGTGACCGTCTTTCCTAAAAGTGAGTTATTTAAATGTAAACAATGCCTGCGCTTGGATCATAAATATCGGGACACGGGTTTACCTACACTACCGCATGAAAACATTGAATGTACATTAATCACTCACCGAAATAATCAGGTAGAACACACTTCGGTGACCGCCCATGTGTCAGAGACGTAGAGGGGCGTCTCAGGACCCCCAACCCCGATTACACTACCGTATAGGCGCGGCGTACGACCCCTGGCTCCTTAAAACTAACAGGCGCCGTCGTGCCAAATAGTATCCTGTTAATAATGATGCTGATTTCGTCATTCGCTAAAGTGACACAAATGAACAGGATTTTTTTTTCTTTAACACGTAAAAATAGTATTTGACGTGTTTTAAACATCAGTGTGACTGATCAATATGCTAGAGTTACTAATGGTCTATTATTAGATGTTCGATCTCAATTTATGACTGGATTGTCTAATAATAGATGCTTATTGCATCATTCGCAAAGTGACGAAACACCACAGTAGGCTCCTTATATTCAAAAAGTTATTTTTTCATCTTTGGCAAGGTGACGAAACTGTACAGAAGGATTTCCTCGCGTTACAAAGTTATTTTTAGAAGCCTGTTGTAGTTTTACCGCTGAATATAGTAGTAACTCTTACTCGCTATGCAGGACGCTCGATTAACGGATGCCAAGTGCCAACATCGTCGCTCTAAAACTCTGGGCGCCAAACCGTGTATTGACGAAAGTTGTACCCTATATGGCGCTGCCCATAAGAAACTTTAGTTTTCTTTTTCGCAGAAATATTCTTGGGAGTATTCTCATCTACTCCCTAAAGTTTCATGGCACTCGGATGAACCGCATCCGAGTTTTATTTTTTATATACCGTGTATAGAGAAAACAAATCGCTCCCCCCGGGGGGGCGCCGACCTTGCAATATTAAACAATTTCTTTTGCAGAACCCTACCATTGAGTGATCTAATCATCTCCCCAAAGTTTCATGCTACACGGATGAACGGTGTGAAACCGAAATAGACGTTTATTTTTATAAACCGTATATAGAGAAAAATCGCAACCTCCCGTGGCGCCGCCCTTGTATGTGTATGTGTATGTGTGTGTGTGTATGTGTATTTGTATATGTATATGTATGTGTATATGTATGTGTATGTGTATGTGTATGTGTATGTGTATGTGTATGTGTATGTGTATGTGTATATATATATATATATATATATATATATATATATATATATATATATATATATATATATATATATATATATATATATGTATATATGTATATATATATAGGGGGGCCAGATTTTTTTTTTGCGGGGTGGCCCTTTTTTCTAGTTCCGCCACTGTACCAACTACGAACCGTATCTGTCAGTTAGAAGTGCCTGCAATTTCGCTCGGCCGTTTCGATCTAGACTGACGACAGAGGAAGTGAGTTAAATAAAAGCTTGCAAAAACCTCTTCGGGTAGTACGACTTGGCAAGAGGGATGTTACGTTTAAGGCAACTGTATAATGTATTTGCTTAAGAATAATTGAATTAGAAAATTTACATAAATCTTCACACATAATTACTTTATATATAGGCCTATGTATCGAAACCTGACCACTTTGTATCGTATATTTCTGACTTTACCAATAAGCAGTGCCGGACAAAAAGATTCGTCAGCCATCTTAACTCCCACGGGGGTCGCGAAGGACTTTCTGGGGTGAGGGGGCGCCAACTGGTAGACTAAACTACACAAAAACATTTGAATTTATTTTATTTATTTTTAATTTTTAATGGCGTTTTGAAGTTTGCATAATGGACACCAGCGAGAAAAGTCTCAAAGGTATTTGAGAGGTCCATAAATTAATTTTAAAAATCTTTCACGGCGTAGTTACAATTAATATGGTTATAAAATCCTGTCTGTCTGGTATTTTGCGGACTTTACTAAAGATTGGATGTATTTGATGTTTTTAATATTTTCGGTAACTAAATTAAAAAAAAAAAGCAAAAACAATTTGGTTTTCACGTGTAATGGCGACATAAACAATGGCATCCTGCTATTCGATAGGCCGCCATAAATTTTATTATACACATTGTAAGCTAAAAATAGAAAAACTAGGTCATGGTGTTTAAATTTGCATTGTTATTTAAAAACTTGATATGCAAAGTTTTGTAAACAAAATAACTATAAAGTGGGGCTTTCTGAAATCGATCACGGAGTTTCTTTACAGCCAATCAATGTTTGTCTTACGAAAGTGAAACATCGGGTTATAACTTCATCATCATCATCATCACTCCTTTGTGGCCCCTGGGGAGCAAAGGGCTGCAACCACACATCTCCAGCGGACTCGGTTTTGGGCTGCTCCTCTAATCTGTGCCCATGAGAGCCCAACTGTTTTCGCCTCTTCTAAAACCGTTCTCTTCCATGTTTTCCTGGCCGTCCCACCCTCATTTTCCCCTGGGGATTCCAGTCCAATGCATGTTTTGCGATGTTTTCTATTTCTTTTCTTAACGTGTGTCCGATCCATCCCCATTTACGGGCCTTGATGGGTTATAACTTAGGCTTGATGAAAATAAATAGAAATATAGCCTTAAACTCAACAAATTATTTTCAAGTTCTCTGGATCTGCAACTTGTATAGCATTGATTCTAAAAATATTAAATTTCTAAATTAATTTTAGGCTTAAGTTTTTAATAAAATTTTATCTTTTATTATTTTTATGGTTCTAAATCTAAAAAAGCACATTTTTATTCCATGTCATCAACATTACGGAAGGATTTTCGTCAACTCACTTGTGTCCATTTCATATTAAACGACGAAAGAGAGAGGGAGCAATTCCTCAAATGAACTCTATACTTTTCTATTTTTTTAAATTGTATTATTTATTCCGATTCATCTTTTCAAGCGAAATCTCGTGATTCCGGCGAGCGTTTGTTTTCCCGGCAGACATTTTAAAAACATTAACAGATTGTTAAAGTTTTCAGATTGTTCTTAGTTTTGAAACCCTTCTTAAAGAAAGCATCGTGACGTTGTGAATTAGTTATGATAAAACAGACTATGGTAAGAATTATGTTTACTTTGATTACGTTCGTTTAATTTTTATTTATTAACACTCAGAAGAAAATAAAAATAAAGTCAGGGAAGCTTGGCCATGATAAATTTTTTTGTTAAAAGGATGCCATTTTTAAACGAGTGACCTCGCCTATCTGCGTCTTAAAATCACATTGCATTGCATGAGAAAATAAAAACGCCTTGAGTGAATTTTGATTAACTTCCGAATGGGTAAGGTCAGAGGCGTAGCGAGGGGGGACGGGACGGCGGGGGGGGGGGGGGGGGGGGGGACATATGTCCCCGGGCGCCGACCTGAGGAGGGCGCCAAATTGAAAGTTTGTGGGGGGGGGGGGGGGATGCAAATGAAAAGTTCGTGGGGGGCGCAAATCGAAAGTTTGTCCCCGGGCGCCTGGAAGGGTCGCTACGCCACTGGGTGAGGTAGAACAGTAAAACTCCCCATGTCAACCGCCAAGGTGTCAGGGGAGTGGCGGAGTGTTCGTGGTAGTCATCAATTTCACTACCACCCAGAACCACAT